ATCTATCTATCCTTTTGATGACACCAGGAATCCACGGCTACTGTACCTTTACAGTAAGCCTTGAGGTCAGGTAGTACCGGATCTGTCATTCTCTGCTTTAATAATGCACTGGTTATTGTGGGACCCTTACCTCAGTGTGTGTGAACTTTAGAATTAGTTTGTTAATAACTACAAAACAACTGCTGGGATTGTGATTTCAATTTGTAATTAGCTTATACATCAAGTTGGGAAGAAGTGATATGGTAACCAGGTCCCATCTTCCTATCCCTGAACATAGGATACCGCTCCATGCACTTAGCTTTTCATCTCTCTCTTTCAACTGAGTTTTCTCCCTATAGATCTTATACATATTTAACTGGCTTTAGTATACATATCTCATTTTTAAGAGTGATAACACAGAAGTGTGCTTGTTACTGGTGTGTAGAAAAGCCATGACGTTGCTATATTAACCTTGTATCCTGCAACACTGCTATGATTTCTTTTTAATTTCAACTGTTGGTGGATGTTTTTGTTTCTCAAATACTTTTTTATTTTTTAGTAGACAATCATGTTATCTGTGAACAAAGACTATTCTGTGGATTCTTCTCAATCCAGTTTTCATTTCCCTTTCTTGCCCTATTACATTAGTTAAGCCTTCGGTTACAGCATTGAAAAGAAGTGTGATATTCTGCTGTTAGGAACGAACACAACTATCCTCTTGGGGAGTTGAGCCCTCAGTCAGTGTGTCACCTGCTCTTTTATCCTTGACAGCTTTCCTTGGCTGCAGTCCGTGTTGTCTGAAGCCAACACAACTGCTCAGACTTCTCTTACTTAGTGTTACCTTGCTTCTCTATCCATTTTAGTTTTCTCTTTAAGCATCTTTATGTTAAAAACTCTCTCTCTCTCTCTCTCTCTCTCTCTCTCTCTCTCTGTGTGTGTGTGTGTGTGTGTGTGTAGTCAACATATATCTGGATCTTGTCCCTTTATTTACTTCAATTATTTCTTCTGACATCTCTTCTTCTGCCTGTCTGAGCTTCCCGAGAGCTTGCATTATAAGTGTGTGCGCAGCTAGTCCAGCCCCTGGGATCTACCTGTCTCTTCCCTAGCACTGGGCTGCAGTTGTTCTTGGCCATATTGGGTTTTGACATGGGTACTGGGGATTTGAACTCAGTTCCTCATGCTTGTGTAGTGGACAGTTTAAGGGGGGGGCAGTCTCCCAGCCCCCTTTTAATTTTAATTTTAATTGGACATCTTATATGGACATCTTGTACTTTACCTCCTTATTTGGCATATGGGTTATTCTTTTTGAAAAGCGGATTTTCATGCTTCCTGGCAATTTACAGTGTACATTTACAACTAATCAAGACACCTTCAAACATTATCATGGCCTCACCAGTGAGTGCCTTGTAACGGTCCTCTTTCCTCCCCTGCCTGGTCTTGTATCATTGCTTTGCCATCATTAATTTCCCTGCCTACATAGGCAGATATATAATTTAGTATATCTTGAACAAAGTGCTAACCAGTAGGTGAATTAAAAACAAGTTTTCACTTTTACCTGAAGTTATTGATTAGAAAGGAGAGCAGGAACTAGCCATTTTTATCTGTGTAAGGCTATCTCAGATGCTCAGGCACAGAACCAGGACCTTACAGCGTGGTAGGATGTGACAGTGCTCTTTGGCTTACAGTGGGGCATGGAGAAACATCAGTTAGAGATGTCTTCAGGATACTGGACATCCAGCACAGCTTA